CAGGCTATATGCCATATTTGAGCTACCAGGCTCACTTTCGACTGGCCAGTCGGAGAGTCGGGGAGTCGGCCAGTCGGAGAGTCGACCAGTCGGCGGAGTCGGGGAGCCAGCCAGTCGCGGAGTCGAAGAGTCGGCCAGTCGGAAAGTCGGAGTCGTCCAGTCGGGAGGTCGGCCAGTCGGGGAGTCGGCCAGGCGGGGAGTCGGGAAGTCGGGGAGTCGGAGAGTCGGGGAGTCGGCCAGTCGGGGAGTCGGGGAGACGAGGAGACGGGGAGTCGGCCAGTCGGCAGCCAAAATGAGAGTCGACCAGTCGGGGAGTCGGCCAGTCGGAGTGTTGGCCAGACGGGGAGTTGGCCAGTCGGGGAGTCGGCCAGTCGGGGAGTCGGCCAGTCGGGGAGTCGGCCAGTCGGGGAGTCGGCCAGTCGGGGAGTCGGCCAGTCGGGGAGTCGGCCAGTCGGGGAGCCGGGGAGTCGGCCAGTCGGGGAGTCGGCCAGGCAGGGAGTCGGGGAGTCGGCCAGTCGGGGAGTCGGCCAGTCAGGGAGTCGGCCAGTCGGGGAGTCGGCCAGTCGGTGATTTGGGAAGCCGGCCAGCCCGAGAGTCGGCTAGTCGGGGAGTCGGCCAGTCGGGAAGTCGGGGAGTCGGTCAGTCGGGGAGTCGGCCAGTCGGGGAGTCGGGGGGGTCATTGCTGTACCGCAGAAATTGTCAAAATGCCCGTGGAGATGTTTTCTGGGGCCGCCTGGAGAGTCCTTCTGGGGCCGCTTAGAGGCATTCTGGGATCGCCCGGAGAGGCCTGCTGGGGGAGGAGGAGAAGAAGGAGGAGGAGGAGGAGGAGGAGGAGGACGAGGAGGAGGAGGAGGAGGAGGAGGAGGAGGCGCCGCGCACATTTGTTTATTCTGTGCAAGAGATTCACGGGTTGAGGGCGACCCGTTTTCAAAATGTGGTTCTCGCCTTAGCGCCGCGCACCTTCGTTTTTGATGTGCAAGAGCTTTGCGGATTGAGGGCGGCTCCTTCTCAAAATGTGGCTCTCATTTTAGCGCCGCGCACGTCCGCTGTTTTTGTCTAGTGTAGGAGTTGCACGGGTTCCCACGATCAACAAACCAGAAATGGTGCTTTGGAAGGATTCAGGACTATGTGGGCGCAACAGTTGCGTTGATCCGCGGTTCTGAAGTCCCAGGAACGGCGTTTTGGCACGATTCTGGATTGTCAAGACGCAACAACTAGGTTGATCCGTGGCGTTGGAATCCCGAGAACGATGTTTTGGCATGTTTCAGGGTCTTCCAGCGGTTGTCTTCCAACGAGGCAGTTCCCACCGTGGACATGAAGCGTTGTAGGGACCTCTCAAGAGGGAGCTTGGAGGGAGGGTTTAATCCAACATCGTTGATGACTCTTGGGTTTACACTGGTCCTCCTCCTCCTCCTCCTTTTCCTCCTCCTCCTCCTCCTCCTCCTCCTCCTCCTCCTCCTCCTCCCTCCGCCTCCTCCTCCTCCTCCTCCTGCTCCTCCCGCCTCCTCCTCCTCCGCCTCCTCCCCCCTCCTCCTCCTCCTCCTCTCTCCTCCCTCCTACCTTCTTCCTCCGCCTCCTGCTCCTCCGCCTCCTCCTCTTCCTCCACCTCCTCTTGCTCCTCCTCCTCCTCCTCCTCCTCCTCCCCCTCCCCTCCTCCTCTCCTCTCCTCCTCCTCCTCCTCCCTCCGCCCTCCTCTCCTCCTCTTCCTCCTCCTCCTGCTCCACCTCCGCCTCCTCCTCCGCCTCCTCCTCCTCCTCCTCCTCCTCCTCCCTCCTCCTCCGCCTCCTTCTCGTCCGCCTTCTCCTCCTCCCCTCCTTCCTCCACCTCCTCGTCTCCTCCACTCCTCCTCCCCTCCTCCTCCTCCTCCTCCTCCACCTCCTCCTCCTCCTCCCCCTCCTCCTCCTCCTCCTCCTCCTCCTCCTCCTCGTCCTTGTCAGGGTCGGCCCCGCGCGGGGTGCGGCCCGACCGCGCGCCGCGCGTGCGCGCGCGGCCGCCCCGGGCGCGGTTGTGGGCGCCAAGGCGCGGGGCGCGCAGGACCCCCCAAGCAGGGTGAGGGCCGGAGCAGTCGCGCGCGCGCCCGTCAGGTCGGGTGTTGATGGAAATGCCCCTGGCCACTTTGTGGAATCCAAAACCTGAACATCGGAGCGCCAGAAGGCCTTCCCAAGGCCTTTGGAAGAATTCCGAAAACTCGTCGAAGGAGATTCTGAAGGAGCTTCTGGAGATCTTCACGGCGCACGTATTGGGAAAGAGTAAGACAACGCCTGCTGGAACACGTTGCCGGCTCACAGGAACCGCTGCGACACTGGAAAGCCGAAGCCAGAACAAGTTCAGGTGCTACCCTGCGGTCCTGGTTTCTAATGTGAAGTCTTCTTAGTCTAATATGAAGCCTTCTCAGCTCTCCAAGGAGCTATCCGGGAAAAGGAGCCCCCAGGATTTCCAAGGAGGCCCTCACGGCCTCCGAAGCACCCCTCACAAAGCCCAGAGGGCCCCAGGAGCTCCAGAATTGAGCGAAAAGCTCGGAGCACCTTGGGCCAGGGGCACCTTTAGGAATCCCGATCAGGGGCAACATTAGGGGGGTCGGCTACACGTAAGAGTGACATTTCGCTGGAGTGACCTTTGGTGCGGGCACACTGGGGTCCCCAGATGGCCGAATGCGATGCGACAGCAGCGGCTTGCGCGTTCCGGTTCGGCCTCCCCGCGGCCCCCGAAAGTCGCGCACCAAAGGTCGCTTTTGCCTAGGGTCACTCTTACGTGTGGCCGAGGGGGGGGATGGGCTCAGGGGCGAGCGTTTCGGGTTCGAAGTCCGAGGTTGTTGGTCGTGTTCCTCGGTTCTCGTCGATTTTCCAGCCTCGGGATGCCTTCCAGCGGCTGCACCTCGCTGAGATCGTTCCGCGGGTGCCCAGATCGTCCCGAACGGCCGCCGGAATTGCCCGAAAGGCATTTGGGTTGGGGGCAAACTCAGAGTCGGAGGTCTGGGAGGGCCATGGTCGAGAACGGCAGCCCTCCCTGGCGTGTTTCGTTCCTCCGCGTCGAGAAGACGGGTCAGGATGGACCCCGGATGGTCATCATCGTCGTCATCATAAGCATCATCATCGCCATTGCCATCACCAGCCTCAGCGTTTCAACCACGAACAGCATCAGAAGCCTTAAGATCGTAAACAGCATGAATATCATCATTGTCCTCATCATCATCATCATCATCATCATCATCATCATCATCATCATCATCATAATCATCATCATCATCATCATCATCATCATCAGCATCAGCATCATAATCATCATCATCATCATCATCATCGTCATCGTCATCGTCATCGTCATCGTCATCGTCATCATCAGGTCACCCGACATCAGGGCGTCGCGCAAGGATCGCGGCGGGCGTTTCTGTCCCGCTCCAGACTCCCAGGCCCTAACAGGCTCACAGATCGATGCAGCCCGAGAGGTGCGCGGTACGTATACAGGCGGGGTCGCAGATGGGGTTTGGGAATCCGGTCATGCTTTTTCACGCCGTCTTTTTCGTCAGCGTCGGGTGTCTCGGTCTGGCCGACCCTCCCTCGTCCGCCTCCGCGGCCGCTATCCTCTTTTTCATACTTGGTGGTCTTCAGCCCACCCCGCCACGGCGCCTGGGTTGTAAGTCAGTGGCCTCTTGAATGTATGTAGGGATCTCTCGGGGAAGCCTCTCGGAAGCCCCTTGGAGGCGGTTTGGGATGCCTTGGGGCCATTTGGGGACCTCGTGCTTCTTGGGGGCCTTTTGGGGGCCTGCTGGCGGTCTCGGAGGTCATCTTGGAGCGGAGGGCTCGGAATATGAGTTCGAGGTCACCCTCTCGGGGCCCTCTTGGGTCCGTCTTGTGGGCCGCTTGGGCCGTCTTGAGGCCCTCTTCGGCAGTATTGGAAGCCTTTTGGTGCGATCTTGAGGGCCTATGGGGCTTTCTTGGAGCAGCAAAAACCCGGACAAGGCGAGAACACTAAATCTCTCAAAAACGAACGGGGAATATATTACGGTTGCTTCTTGGGGCCCTCATGGGCGTCTTGGGGGGCCTCTTGGGCCGTCTTGGTGCCATCCTGGGCGTCTTGGCGAACTCTTGGGCCGTCTCGGGATTACCTTGGACCATTTTGGAGGTTTGGGGGCCCCCTTGCCTCCGGAAAAGTCAGGCGTGCCCGACAGTGCCCGGGAGCGCCTGGATTTCAGGACTGCTAGCCTCTTACAGAGTACGGAAATACTCAACGCAGAGGACGCGAAGAGACCTGCAGGCGGGTGATTTCGTGCCTCGGGGCACAGTGGTTGATAGGCTTGGTGCGCCATTAGCTCTGCCGCGCCTTGCCTGTTGCTACCAGACGCTTTTGTATCCCACGTCGCCGCCGACTAAGACGTCTGGATCTGGCCAGCTCGCGTCAGTCTTCAATTTCCACGAGCACACGCGCACGAGTGGTGTACGTTGTTGGGCGGGGGCGCACCACCCACAATTACTTGGCAGCAAGTTTTGGCACTGGCTCATTAATTGGATGAGTGAGTCGCGGGTTCGTGCTGAACCCCTTGCGATTTTCCTTGGCTCTGGAAACTGCAAGAGCCTGCGACTGGGAGCTGAACTTCTTGAGCCAGAGTTGTCTGATATCGTTTGCGGTAGACCATGGGGGGGGGGGCACAAAGGCACGTCAGAGCCCAACCCGTCGTCAGTATCCTCGTCACGACCGTCATCGTGCACCTTATCGTTATCGTCGTGTTGGGTATTTTCAGAAAGATGAGAGTGGATGACCGTTCGCTCATCCTGGAGGGGAATTGCTTCAGCAGCGCTGAAATCGTAGAGACGGGGGGGGCAGAAGGCAAGGATATCGCTCCGTGCCTCGCGATTTGCATACACAGTGTTTCTTTAGGGGCCTTTCCAGATTTGAGGTGCATATTTCAGCCTATGCAGGCTCACAGCAGCGATACCATTTTATCACACGCGATCAAAAAGCTAAGAATTGTTTGGTTTTGCAGCATCCGATAGTGAGCCGCCATGTCCGAGACATATTGCAGCGCTGTCTTGTCCAACCGCAGAGTGGCAAATTGAATGATCAGATCCGCGCGCGCGCATGGGTATACATACATCTCTATATATATATATATATATATATATATATATATATATGTGTATGGGCCCGCTCCACAAAGGGCCTCGCCTCCGAGGGATCGGGAGGTTGACATCTCTTCCTCTGCGGAAGCTAGTGGAAGCAGCACGAGGGCGCCTCCGTTGGCGGAAACCAGCGGAAGTAAAAAATGCGTCCGCAACAGATGTCAATATGTTTGGATTCAGGGCTTCTGAGATTCGTCATGGGTGTATGCGTCTTGCATGTATGGGCTGATTTAGGCGTACGTGTTCCTTAGACGCCCACTGTTGACCCACAACCATGGCTTTACCCTGAACCACTTCGACCCGGGAAGGTGCCACAGCTCATCATCCCCATCAAGACCGCCTTGAACACCCGGTGCCCTGACGTGATCGCGACAATGCTCAAGGCCGGGTCAGCGGCTCGGAGCGGCAAAGGGAGCAAGAAAACAATGTTGATGAGGATGTAGTGTAGAACAAGGAGGGACAGACGAAGGGGGAGGCAAAGGGGCAGGGAGAGCAGGAAGCAAGGGGATGGGAGAAGAGAAGGAGGAGAAAGCGGAGGAGGAGGAGCAGTAGTAGGGTTTAGGCAGAATGCCAACAAGAAATTCGCGCATACCAGAAGCACTGTATTTCTCTGGCAGTGTTTGAAGGGTCCGCGTGCCGTCCCACTCGGGCATTTGTACTGCATGAGTGCTGAAGTGCTGAGATGTTCGTAGAGAAATGCATTCGAATACAGGTGATATCCCGAATTCACTTCTGGTCACAAAAGCTTCGACTACGTGTCAATCTCCTCCAGCTCCGCGCGAGGAGGATGGCAGTCTACGATCCCCTGTTAATTTCAGCTCCCCCAAGAAGAATGAGCACGTTACGCACAGCAACAGGCCACGTGCAGAAATACCATTGCCCTCGCCCCCAGTCAGTCAGTCAAGCCTGGCGCTCGAACGGCGCATGGCAAATGAAAGGTTATGAATGGGGCGCTCGTGGATGGAAGGGGGAGGAGCGGGACAGGAGGAGGGCAGAGGAAGGGGGGCGGAAAAGACAAGCTAAAGCCAATGGTCGCCACGTTGGTTGCAAACGCGTACAGACCGTTGTTGCTTAGGCCTCTCCGCTCCCAAAGAGCACCAAATATTATAGCATCGAATACGCATGCGGCGAACCATGGCCCCCTCTACCTTTCGGAAAAGCCCAGGTGGCCAAACGTTGCGCCGACGTGTTCGCCCAGCCGTTGCGGAACCCCTTTCGGGGAACATTGTGAGAGGGCAGAGAGGAGGAGGCTGAGGAGATGGAGGAGGAGGAGGAGGAGGATGAGAGGGAGGTTCACTGCCTAAAGAGGGAGAGGTCAAGGGAAGGGGGAGGGGAGGGAAATGGGTGGGGTTGCCCATCAGAGGGTGTTTTGCGAAGGCCTTACGGCCGGTGCCGCCGACCGTGAAGGGGGACGACGACGACAATGGCGGCGGCGGCGGCGGCGACGACGACGACGACGACGCTGACGTGGGCCAGAGTCCTCAGGGATGCTTCTTGCGGTCTCTTCGGAAGGCTATCGGGGGGCCTCTGGGCAGGAATTCTGACGCCTCTTGGGGGCCTCTTGGGCGTCTCTTGGGGGCCTCTTCGGGCTTCCTGGGGACCTCTTGGCTGGGGTCGCCCATCAAAGGGTGGATTTGTCAGCCCCCCTCCCGGAGGTTCCATCCCTCTGGGGCGGGCCCCCGACAGGGCGACCTCTCCCCTCACACACTACGCAGCTGGGCCACAGGCCTCTCCTGCTCCGTGGCGGTGCTGGTTCTCTCCGAGCCTGGGCTGTACTCCAGGCCAAGAGGGCCGTCTATCACGAGCCACCCCTTTTCAGTAGGATGCATAATCCCTCGGAAACGGGTACGCACAGTGTCTGCGAAACCACCCGTGAACCAACGAGGCCCAAGACAGGGGCTGCAAAGGCCCCTCTGCTTCTTGTGGGCCGCGAACTTCTAGCAAAGCGTGCAAGAAGAGCGGGCCCTCGCCAGGGACCCCCGCCTCAAAAACCGAGTGACCGTTCACGACCCAGGGCCTCCTTGGCCCCAAGCCGTACCCTTCGTCTTCGGCATCCTCCTCTCTTTCCAACCCCCTGGCCGCCGCCAGGCCCTCGGCAGCAGCAGCAGCAGCAGCAGCAGCAGCAGCAGAGGGTGGGTCGGCAGAGGGAGGGCGAGCGGGGGCAAGTGGCCTGCGGCGGGGCCTCGGGCGGGGACGAGGGGTATTCCAGAACCTCCAGGTCGATGAGCCGAATGGCCTCGAGCCCTGGTGGTCGTGAACCTTCCAGTCGCCGCAGCGAGGCGCGCAGCGAGGCGAGACATGCGAGCCTGCCACTCGAGATCCGAGCAGCTTTACAAGAAAAGCACATGCCTCTCAGCTGCCGCTCCGTGACTGGCCCCGAGTTTGGCAGACTTGTCCGCTTTTGCATTTCCCTTTAGCTCGAACTGTGAGAGGGCCCCTTCCCGATTTTGGACCATGGAACAGTGGCTCTTCGCACGCCTGAAGCCCACGGGCGCGAAATCTTCCCTGGAGTGGACCCGAGACCACAGGTGGGCCCTCGGGTTCGAGATTGTTGAGTTTGCGCGAACGTGTGCAGCACGATAGCGTGGCGCTGCAATGCGCCAGAATAGTAAGCTCCCCAGCACATGCTGGGCAACCGTCAACACAGCAGAATGCTCTCCTCCTCGGGCCGGACATGTGGCCGAAAACTCCCAAGGGGACCGCCGCATAAATGGCCCCCAGTGCTCACGCTTGGTCGAAAAGAAAACGCAGGACCAGCCAGTGGTCCTCAGAGTGGGAAACCTCGTGTTAAGCCCGGAACCTTCGATAAACACAAACCTCCTTCCAGGCAGATCGGGAGTTCCACCCCATTTCCACGAAGAGCCCAAATTGGAAGGGAGGTTTGCTCACACACAGGCCTGGCTCCGCAAAGATGCATCTGGCAAAACGTTCACCCCAGGAGGGGGGGGGGTCCGACTGCACTACCTGTGCATCGTGCAGCTTTGGCCGGCTCTGGGGAGATATCGTCCCGCCTCCAGGACTCGTGGGCTGGGCACTTGTAGCATCGATGGTGCAGGGAGCCGCGCTGCTCCTGGCACAAGTGGCATGAGAAAGAGACCGACGCATTGTGATCGTACAATATGCCCTGCGTCCAGTGCGAGCCAGCCATTAACCCTCTGAGAGCCGACTGCTGGTGCTGTTCCCAGCCTGGCTCCCACTCGCAGAATATCAACTCCAGGATGGGTCGCCGAAAAATGGAGACCTCCGGCCTTGTCGGTCCTGTAGCGACAACGCGCGCACGTCGGACGCTCTCCCTTGCCGCGACGGCAATAACGTCCGACACGCAGATTGGCCAGTAGAAGGCAAGATCCCACTCCCGACCCGGGTCGTCCACCACACACACACACACATTGGCCCCCGAAACATCCAACCCACACGCTGCGCAGTACGCATCATCGCGGCCACGGGGTCTCTGCACGAGATCCAGGCGCGATCCTTGGCAGTTTGCTCGATACTTCCGTCGAAGAGGGTCTGGAGGACAGCCGCCTGGAAGAGGCCATCTCATAGCACCTCTCCATATTGTTCAACATTATCGACCGTCGAGATGGCCAGCGGGTCGCGTCGCCGGCCTGGCCAGTCCAAAAAAATCTTGTCGACGATCCTCGGGAAAGCCTGCCCTCCGCCTGGGCGGCCGCCATTCGGAGCTGGTGCAGCCTGGTGTCAGGCAGCACATGCACACAGAAACCCCAGTGCGCTACAGCCGATGGTCCAGCTCTGTGCTTCTGGACTGGGGCAGCCGAATTGTGCAACCACGCTGCCAACTCCCCCCCTCCTTGTTCTCCTCGTCGTTCCTATTCCTCCTCCTGCTCCTCCTCCTCCTCCTCCTCCTCCTCTTCTCCTCTTCCTCCTGCTTGACCTGGCTCTGGCGCACGCTTTTGGTGGCAGCGCGAGTGAATTCTGAGTGCTGGCAGATTCGCTCCCCTCAGTTGTTTTTTTCCTCCCCAAAAAAAAGTTCTGTGCACCTGGAACACCGTAGCACCTCCCCTCTGGAGGGAACGGAGGCGCAGCGCTCGACACTGAGCCGAGAGGTAGCGTCTGCACGCCTGAATGTCACATCCGTGGCGTCCCCACCCAAGTCCCGATTGGAATTCAACATGTCCTTGAGCTCAAGCTTCCATCTGCCGCAATGAAGATTGACCAGCTCCGCCGAGCTGGCTAAAAAAGACGCCCCACCCCAAGAGGTCGGCAGGTCCTTATTGGCCACACCCTTTCACCATAGTGCTGAAGGCCCGCGGCAGCTCGCCGGCCACCGTCGGTCAGCCTCCCACCGCACGAAAAGATAAACGTCGTCGAGAGCACTCTTCTTCACCACAATGGGCGCCGACTGCGAGGCACCCCATTGAGCAGGACCAGAAACGAGAGCCTGGCGAGAGATGTGGCGCACGAGCATGGCCTGGCGAACCACAGAGGCCCGCGGATGCAGCCTTGCAGAAGGGGCCGCGCGGCGCGGGGCCCCAGTAGACGCAGCAAAGGGCCCGCCAAGCGGGACGTCGGAGAAGCAGGCCCGCGTGGGCCGCCGCGGCCCGAAGCTCATGATGAGGCACGGTCTCGCAATAATTTGTTCACACCTAAGACTGAGCGAGAGGAGGGGAAGCGAGAAGGAGAAGGCCTTCTCGGAATGCGGCGGGGGCTCCTCAGAAGCCCGCGCGCCTTATGAGAAGCTGTTTGCGTGTTGGGGGGAGGCTTAAAAAACGTCTCGGAAGGCCCGAGGCCTTCCGAGCTTGAGAAGGCCCGCCCCTTCTCGTTTCCTCCCATGGGCTCGCTTCCGATAAAAGGGCCAAGCCAGACTCGAGGCTGGGCCAGCCTCGCAGAGTGCAACATAACAGTGCGGGGCCACGCACACACGTTTGTCGCAAGGTATGGCGCGACCCTGCCACCCCAGAACAAGCTGGAGTCAACCGACTCTCCCAACTCGAGCAAACTCTGAATCGGATCTCGGACCACATTCGGGCCCACAGGGGGAGAAGGCCGATCGGACACACGCACCCCGTCGGCTTACCCAAAAGCACTGTGGGGACCAACCAGCGCCCCGAGACCTGGGGATCCAGTTCCCAGGCATTCAAGATGCCAGCAAACCTCTGTGCGAACTCTCTTGGCAGCTAGTTCAACAAGCGCGGGTGTCAGCCGTCCCAGCCAAGTGCCGCGCCCTTGGCTAAACAGCCGACGACTTCTACGGCATCGCCTGCCGAATTCAAAGGCAACTGATCCGACATACACCAGGACCTCGGGTGATCTTCGGAGACTATGGACTGCTTGGACCAAAGCAGGAGCAGTTCCTCCAAGAGGTCCTCCAGGGTCTCGTGCCCAGCCAAAGGCTGGGAACCTTCTTCGAGACAGCCCGGGAGCGGGGTCGACTCGGGGTGAGGGCCCTTGGAGATTATATGGGCAATCTTACCCCCTTCAAGATTTCTGCCAAGTTGGCCAACTGGCAAACTCCTGCCAAGCTTCTCGGCAAACTTCTGGCAAGCTCCCTGGCAATCGTAGCAACCTCTGGTGCCCTCCATTATGATAGCTGCTACAAGTCCTAGCCCCGAGAGCTGGCAAAGCTCGGGCTCGGCAGAAGTCTTCAAGCAATCGTCCATCCCCGAAAGTAACTGAACCGACCTCCCCTTCGCCACGCTACCCTCCCCACTGGGTAGGGCGAGCAACTGGCTGGCGAGGCGCCGCACCTGGAGCCACTGGATCGCTGACTCTGAGGAGCGTCGCATCAGATCGCTGCCCCAGGATGAGGCCAACGGGACCCACTCAAACCTTCAGCGTGACGCCCTACTGCGGCACGTACCCTTTGCTCGTTTGCCGGGGGATTGTCTGCAGCGCGCACAGGCCTTCCCCCACAAACCCAACGCCACAGGCCCGGCAGCCCCGCGGGGAGGGGCCTCGGGGAGGGTCCCAGGTTCCACGGCCAAGGAAAACCCGGGCCCGTCAGTCCAGGATCAGTCTTGGTCCTCAGGTGTCTCCAGCGCAAAACCCGCCGGGGCGATCTTCTGCCAAGCCTTGGCATTCCTCGTCAGGCCCCTGACCTCCCGCGGCGTGCTCGACGCCGCCGTCATGGGGTGCACAGACGGAAGCAAGCGCTGGGACAGGGCAAAAGAACAACAGCAAAGAACAAAGCAACAAAAGATGCCCGTAGGACCCACAAGCTGAACGCGCAGCGGGTCTGCCCAACCTGCCACTTGCAAGACGTCCAGGCCGACGTTCCTGTCCCCGCCGACGATCGCTAGTCCGTCGAGGCTGGTGAGGAGCTCCGCAAGGACCCCGGGGATCACCACGTTTTGATCGCCCAGTCCGCCGTTCGTGGCTAGAGAGACCGACACGACGTAGACGGGCATCTGCAGACCCGAGCCTATCTTCTGCACGCGAAGCCTATGTTGAAGTTATGCTGGTACCTTTGCAACCTCACGCAGAGACCCGAACCTCGAGGGTACCAAGCCAGTAAGTCCATTGGTGCTTTCCGACGCAATAGCTCCCATGACTAGACCGACGTAGACGACATTGCGAAGCCAGCTTGCCGTGCCCATGACAAGGCAGAGCCATGAGACGCAACCGAGACAAGCGCGGTCTCCTGCAGCAGGACCATGCCAGGGACCCTTGCATTCCTCCTTCCTCCAGTCGGTGAACTCCAGGCCCGTCCTCCAAGAGTTGCAGTTGTAGATGAGTGCTTCAGGAGAAGAGGAGTCGTCCACGGTCGACGTCTTGGAGGGCGCACTTCCACGACCACCCCTCGTTTGCTCCACGAGCGGCGGGATCGCGCGCAGGTTCTGCAGCAGCTCGTGCTCAGCGGCGAAATGATCGGCGAGGCCCTGGTGCCGTACTACCGCCAGGCCCTCCGGCGACGGCCTTCCCTCCCAGAAGCCCCCCGCGTCGTAAAAAAACGCGCCTGGAGGGTTTTCGTGATTTTTGGTTTTGGGGTGCCCTAGTTGAGCCTCGGGACCGTCAAGAAACTGCTCAGATATGTGGGAAGGGGCCCCCCCAGATCTCCGACGATAGTTGTTTTTCAGCCGGTGGTTTTTCCTCGATCGGACCTCCGGGCCTGGTGTCGGGCCCTGGGGCCATCAGAAATGAATCCGGGGCGAAAACATGGCCCTGAAGGGGTCGGGACCTTTGGGGCCGCGGGTCGAAGAAATCATACTGGCGGATGCCAGGGTTCCTGGAGATCCGGCGTCACGGAGAAGTCGCAGCACCGTGAGAACTCGCTGGCGGAGACTTCGACGCCCTTCGACACCCTTTCCTGCGGCGTTTCTCGAGGCGGGTCGCTCCGTGGAAGCCCCTCGGGGGGCCGAAAGTTGGCCGAGCCGCACGGAGCGAAAAGGTCTGCATCGCATCAGCGTGCCCTTCCTCGTCAGTTAGACAATGTTTCAATAACGAGTCAAGATTGTGCTCGAAGATGGTCGCGCCTCGCGCATCGTGGTCTGGGCCGGAGCGGCTGCCCTTCTCCTGCGCGAGGGCTCGAAGATTCATGGCCTGACAACTAGCACCCATACTTGTGCGCCCCCCTGATTTCTCGGGGTGGTATTCTGAAGGGGCTGTGGGAGTATGGTGTCGAATGGAGGTCCCCGCTCGAACGGGACCCCCCCTCGGGGTCCGACAAGTCGCACGCATACTTATAGCGCCTTCATCGCCTTGCCGTTCCCCATTCCTCCTCCCTCTAGATTTGAGCGCGTGTTGCTCTTTCATCTGGAAAAATGGTGAGCTGCGCTTTGCGGGGCGCGATGCGCGAAGTTTCATGTTGTGCTTTGGGGAGAGGCGGGGAGGCAAGGCCACCCCGCACGGCCGCAACAGCCGCCGCCGCCGCCGTCGTCGCGGAGGCGAGTTGAAGGGAGAGGAAGGAGGAGGAGGAGGAGGAGGAGGAGGAAGGAGGAAGGAGGAAGGAGCAGGAGGAGGAAGACCAGTGCAAACCCAAGACTCACCAACGATACTGCAATAAACCCTCCCTTGACGCTCCCTCTTCACAGGTCCCTAGAAGTGTTTATGTTAATTGAGAGAAGTGCCCGATTGGAGGACAACCGTCTGGCAATGTTGTGCCGCGCCAAAACACTATCCTGAAACTTCAGCGCCGCGAACCAACGTTCTTGTTGCATCTGGACGATCCTGAAACCTGCTAGAATACCGTTCCTGTGACTTCAACACCGCGAATCAATGTGACGGTTGCGCCCTGACAGTCCAGCACCGTGCCAAAATACCATTTCTTGGACGTTGATCATCGGAATCTGCTAAACGCTTGCATGTGTTGTCAACGAATGTGCGCGGCGCTGTGGCGAGATCCACATGTTGAAAAGGAACCGTCCTCAATCCGTGACGCTCTTGCAAACCTTAAGACGAGTGCGCGCGGCGCTAAGGCGAGAGCCGCATTTTGAAAGCGTCCCGCCTTCAACCTGCGAAGCTCTTACCACGTTTAAAGACGACAGTGCGCGGCGCTGAGGCGAGAGCTAGATTTTGAAACGGCCAACCTTCAATCCGTGAAACTGGTGCAAATGTGTAAGACGAGTGTGCGCGGCGCTAAGACGAGAACCACATGTTGAAAACCACCCGCCCTCCGTCCGTGAAACTGTTGAGCTGGTAAGCTTCAGGATCACAAATGGCGAAGTGGCCTCAGGCGAAACGCCCAGCCTGCCCTTCCGACTGGCCTCGGGGTCGCGACAGTGAGGAGTTATAACGAACAGGAATTAAGGAGGAGGGGAGGAGGAGGAGGTGAAGCAGGAGGAGCAGGAGGAGGGCGAGGAGAAGAAAGAGGAGGGGGAGAGGAACGAGGAAGGAGGAGGAACGAGGGGGGAAGAGGGCGAGAAGGAGGAGGAGGAGAGGGAGGAGGAGGAGGAGGAGGAGGGGGAGAAGGAACGAGGGAGTAGTAGGAGGAGCGAGGAACCAGGTAGGAGGGAGAGGAGGGGAGGAGGAAAGAGGAACGAGGGAGGAGGAGGAAGAGGACGAGGAGGAGGAGGAGGAGGAGGGACTGTATAAAAGCCTGGGTGCTTTGAGTGTTGTAGCGGGGGGGTGGAAAGAGAGAGTGCTGTATGTATACATATATATATTGAAGAGAGAGAGAGAGAGAGAGAGAGAGAGAAAAAAAAAAAAAAAAAAAAAAAAAAAAAAAAAAAAAAAAAAAAAAAACACGACAGAGGTAGACAGAGAAGTTGATATCCGCGTAGGCCTAGGCGTCGGCCGCCGTGGGAGGAAGATACTTCAGGAGGCCGTCGAAGAATTCCTAGACGAGCGCTCTTGCAGCCTCGATGTCTCTTGCTCGTGGCGCGTCGTGTCAAGCCACAGGGACTACAAACATTGTCAAAAAATTGTTTTTGCGTGTCAGAGGGACGTGAGAAACATGCGTGTCAGGTCAAAGGGCCAGCAAAAACTGTCAAACATCATATGGTTTCATGTCCGTTTCGTCGCTTGTGTATATATACATATATACTAGGGGTCGCGTGGATTCACAAAAACCTTGTATCAGAAATAAACGAAAACGTATTGTTTATAGTGTTTGTTGGCCCTCTGACCTGAACAATACGAATTCGCAGTGCTGGTTCACCCTCTGACTTGAAACACATGTAATCAAATGAGGTTGTTCAGGTCAGAGGGCAAGAAAACACTGAAACGAAAAGGTTGTCCCGGTGTTCCATGTTTGTTTCAATATTTGTATTTGGGCGCGCATAAATCCACTAACAGTAGGCAGAAACGAACCTAATAAACAAAACAAAACAAAAGTGTATGTATATACACAATACATACATACGTGTATATATATATAGATATATATATATATATATATATATATATATATATATATATAAATATCGGAGTAGGGCCCCGGGGCGGTGCCTGTCATCTCCATGGGGTGTGCAGGGCGCCCCCGGGAGCGTCCGAAGCGTCCCGGAGGGCCCCTGGGACCGCCAGGAACAGTTCGAGACCGCCCAAGACGGCCCGCGAGCGCTCCAAGACGCGCATAGATAGCCTCAGGAATGGCCAGGAAGGCCCGAAGACGTTCCAAGAGAGCTCCATGAGGCCCCGAAGGCATCCCAAGAGGCCTCCCAAGAGAGCCCCGACAAGCCAAAATCGTTGATTTGTATAGTGTTTGTTCTAGGTTTTTGGCCTTCTCGCTTTTTGTGGGTTCCGACGCTCCAAGGTCGTCCAAGAGTCTCCCAAAACCGCTCCAAGACGGCCGAAGAGGCCCCCAAGACCGCCCCAAGACGGCCCAAGAGACCCCCAAAATCGTCCCAAGACGGCCCAGGAGAGCCCCAAGATGGCCCAGGAGCCCCCCAAGATGGTTCCAGGAGTGCCCCGACAGGGCTTCAAGACTGCCTAAGCGAGCCCAGCGGTCCCCAAGAGGGCCCGGCGAGGCCCCAAGAGGCCCCAAAGAGGCCCCCAAGAGCCTCCCCGAAGGCCCCCAGAAGCCCCCAAGAGGCCCAAAAATTGCCCTCAGCGCGCCCCAAGACGCCTCCAGGAGAGCCCCACAGGCCTCCGAGAGGCCCCCAAGAGGCCCACTGGAGGCCCTCAGAAGGTCGTCCCCATCATGTTCCCGGAAGGCGGTCCGGGAACATGATTCCGCGCCTTGGAGGAGTATTCTGCGCTTTCCGAGGCGCCTTCCGAGGCGCCTTGGACGACGTACTACGTTTCTATAGATTGTCCTTCTCCTGTGTACACAATCCTACATGTCTTACGTATGGGTCTACTGTATATATATATATATATATATATATATACGCACACATTTATACATATATATATGTGTATACATACATATGTATATATCTATATATATATACACATATATATATACACCCCTCCCCCAAGCCCTCCCGAGTCGTGCCACTTCCTTCCACGTATTTCAAATTCTTCCCCATATATAGAGGCCCCCAAGATGCCCAACAATGGCCCTGAGCGCGCCCCAAGACGCCTCCAGGAGAGCCCAACAGGCCTCCGAGAGGCCCCCAAGAGGCCCACTGGAGGCCCTCAGAAGGTCGTCCCCATGATGTTCTCGGAAGGCGGTCCGGGAATATGATTCCGCTCCTTGGAGGAGTATTCTGCGCTTTCCGAGGCGCCTTCCGAGGCGCCTTGGACGACGTACCTATGTTTATATAGATTGTCCTTCTCCTGTGTACACAGTCCTACATGTCTTACGTATGGGTCTCTCTCTCTCTCTCTCTATATATATATATAATACATAATGTATATATACAGGCCTCCGAGAGGCCCCCAAGGCCCACTGGAGGCCCTCAGAAGTCGTCCCCATCATGTTCCCGGAAGGCGGTCTGGGAACATAATTCCGCGCCTTGGAGGAGTATTCTGCGCCTTCCGAGGCGCCTTGGACGACGTACGATTCATATTCTTGAACGCTTTCCGGGAACATGATTTCTCACCGTTTCGGAACGCTTTCCTACTGCTGCGGTGCTCTGGGGGGAAGGGACGGGGGTCCGGGAACATGATCGGGAGGTTAGGGAACGAGGGTTTGGAGAGGAGCAGTAGGACAGACGGACGGGGCCCGGGGGCGGGGGTGGGGTGGTGCCACCGGTTGGCATGGCCGCCCCGGGCGTCCTGTGGGGTCCACGAACCCGCCCAAGACGGCCCATGAGGCCCCAAAGACAGCCCAAGAGACCCACAAGACAGCCTCAGCGAGGCCCAAGAGGGCCCCAAGACGCTCAAGAGCGCCCCAACAGGGCCCGAGATGGCTTGAAGATGGCCGAAGAGGGCCCCAAGAGGGTCTTCAAGAGGCAAACACCGGCTTATTTCCATTCGTAAAGCATACATTTTCAGCATACTCGTTTGCTTGGTCCTCACAGTGCCCCAGACGCCCCCGAGCCCCAAGACAGCCCAAGAGAGACCCAAGAGGGCCCAC